CACATCACATCTACCAATGCAGTCGGCGCAGTCGTACAGGAGAACCTCAAGTGAGTCAGTTGACGGAAGGAATGCCACGTGTCATGCCACCTGTTTCGACGGATATTACGTTCGTTACTTATAGAGTGATCGGTATGAGTGGGATTCGGGTTGTTGACGAATCGGTGTTTCCAGACTCCATCACCGGTGGATTGCCGGCGACTCTGCTTGCCCTAGCGAATAAAGCGGCCGAAATAATCGCGGAAGAAAATCACCTCTCTTGCTGAAACTCTGTTTCGCTACGACGCTCACTATCTTATAATTATGTATAAACAAACTTAACTAATGATCAGAAAGTCTGCTGTTTTATTGGTTCACTCGGATTCCTTAGTTCAAAAGCACCTAATTAGCTATCAGACAAATTATTTATAGTTATTTCAAAGGACAAAAAGAATGCAGAGTCAATCTATGACCTTTAACTACGAATCATGCTATTATCATCCAAAATTCCACTATTGTGGAGGTACATCTGTTCCTCTCGTACAGTATTCAACTCAGATGCATTTACTCTGCTCAATTCATTTTTAAATACCAAGACGGTGTTACCTTCCATTAGTTAGTTATGATCGCGTGTCGATCGCATATCCGACATCACCATTAGGGGAGAATACAAGTGAAACTGCACGATGGTATGAGACAGTAACGCAGGCATTCAGGTAACTGCATCCGCTGTTCCAAAAACGCGTGCCATTATGCTGTCCTACGTCATTCCAAATGTCATTGAAATAAAACGATCTGTGTACATTCGTTGTCTGAACGATACGCCTGCTCCTTTTGATACAAGTGAAATTCGTCGTAATGATGTTGAAATATTTCGACTCCGAATTCATCAGCTATTCTCTCTGCCTTCTCATTCTTCTTCGACGAATTCACCAGTTATTACATGGAATTTTATATAACTTAAAATATATTTTATATAACTTACCGATTCGCTCTGCACTATATTGCGAACTTGAATTTCCCTCAGGTGT